TTTTTTTTTTTGGCCAGGGCTAGGCTTGAACTCTTGAACCCACTACCTCCGGCATATGGGGCCAGCGCCCCACTCCCTTGAGCCACAGGCACTACTCCATGCCCAGCTATTTTTTGTTGCAGTTTGGCGGAGGCTGGGTTCAAACCTGCCACCCTTGGTATTTGGGGCCGGCACCCTACTCACTGAGCCATAGGTGCTGTCCTAATTTTTCTGTTTTTAGTAAAGATGGGGGTCTCGCTCTTGCTCAGGAATCCACATTCCTTAGCCTCCCAGAATACTTTTTGGAAGGGGCCCAAAAAACATTTACATAGAACTAATGGTTTACTCTCTATTAGTTCTATGTAAATGTTTTTTGGGCCCCTTCCATCAGAATCTAGAATTTGGCTAGCGTCTGCTAACACTGTCATTGTGTTTTTATCCACTATAACTTAATTTTTTCTATATTTGATATGTTAATTATTCTATTTAATGTAGGTTTTACTTTATTAATCTTTTTTTTTTTTTAAATTTTGAGACAGAGCCTCAAGCTGTCACCCTAGGTAGAGTGCAGTAGCATCACAGCTCATAGCAATCTCCAACTCCTGGGCTCAAGCGATTCTCCTGCCTCCGCCTCCCAAGTAGTAGCTGGGACTACAGATGCCCACCACAACGCCCGGCTATTTTTTGGTTGTAGTTGTGTTGTTTGGCGGATCCAGGCTGGATTTAAACCTGCCAACTCAGGTGTATGTGGCTGGCGCCTTAGCCGCTTGAGCCATAGGCGCCGAGCCTACTTTATTGATCTTGATGTTATATTCTGATAAAAAAAAGTTTTGTGGGGTGGCGCCTGTGGCTCAGTGAGTAGGACGCCAGCCCCATATACCAAGAGTGGCAGGTTTGATCCCAGCCCCGGCCAAACTGCAACAAAAAATAGCTGGGCATTGTGGTGGGCATCTGTAGTACCAGCTAATTAGGAGGCTGAGGCAAGAGAATTGCTTGAGCCCAAGGCTGGAGGGTGCTGTGAGCTGTGACGTCACCGCACTCTATGGAGGGTGACAAAGTGAGGCTCTGTCTCTTAAAAAAAAAAAAAAAAGTTTTGTAACATTTTTCTTGTTGACTGGAGCATTAGTTGTTTAGAGATAGGGGCTTGCTCTGTAGTCCAGGCTGGAGTGCAACAGTGTGATCATAGCTCACTACAACCTTGAAGTCTTATCTCCAGTGATCCTCTCACCTTAACCTTTTGAACAGATGGGAATACAGGCAAACATGACTGTGCCCAGCTTATTTTAAAATTATTTTGTAGAGATGAGGTCTCACTATGTTGCCCAGGCTGGTCTTGAACTCCTGGCCTCAAGGGATCCCATGGGCTCAGCTTCTCAAAGTGCTGGGATTATAGGTATGCACTATGGTGTCCAGCCAATGGCTGAAGTTCTACTGCTACCACAGATCCTCTGTCCCAGGATGTACAGACATGCTCTATGGGTTCCTAGAGCCCCAATGGTGGGTGTACATGGCCAGTTACACTGCAAACACTCTACTGTTAACTCAACACAACAAGCTTCTGTCTGTCTCTGGCTCTGGCACCATATGTTACTTTAACTTTCTACTTCCTTGTCAACGACTGTGATCATGCAGTGTGTATAAGCACTGCCCCCCTCACAAAACTCTTCCTCAAAATTCTTTCTTTCTTTTTTTTTCTTTTGAGACAGAGTCTCACTTTGTCAACCTTGGTAGAGTGCCATGGCATCACAGCTCACAGAAACTCAAGTTCTTGGGCTCAAGCAATTCTCTTGCCTCAGCCTCCAGAGTAGTTGGGACTAAATGTTAGTTTTAGAGATAGAGTCTTACTCTTGTGCAGGCTGGTCTCAAATTCCTGAGCTGAGGCAATTCACCTGCCTTGGCCTCCCAGAGTGCTGGAACTACAGGTGTGAACTACTGCGTCCGGGCTCTTCCCCAGAATTCTAAACATTTTCTGGTAGCATTTGGTGTGACATAGGGATGACTGCTTTTTTTCAAAGCAGCTCAGTATTATTACTGTTACCTGGATGCTTAGGGAAGTTTCTACTTATTTTTGCAATTTGGAAATATCACCAAGAACCTTAAGTATACTATATTTAAGTACTCTGGACAAAAATCTGGGGATCTTAAGCTGTAAAGATTCAACTCTAGCAACCTGTGGAGATCTTTCCTATTCCAATGTTGCTGCTGGTCTCCCTCTGCTGTGCACCTCTCAGGGTTTCGTCTCAGCTACAGAGATATCCCCAACTCGTCCTTAAAGTATGCCTGCACTGAAGTAATCTGTAGCCATGGCCAGATGGATACCCTTTTCAATCTCTATTTTCTCCCTACATCCAGTGATGTTCTCCCTGTCTACTGTGGCTGGAAAGATCTAAGTCTGCCAACATCAAGGGCTGGCAGTGCCTGCCGCACACATCTTGGACGGCCTTCATCAGCAGTGGATGGACCCGGGAATTCTGGGCAATGCGGCCTTCCCCAGCTCAGCACTCACTAACTAAAGTCTAAGCCCCATCAGTGTCAGGAAGCTCTTTTGTTGGAGGAAATGGCTTTTGTGGAATTTCTGAATGTTATCAGTTTTTTCCACACTGTTCCTTCCACAAGCAGTTCAGAGAAAATATAAGAAAAAATCATTGCCTGGCCCAGGAACTGTTTCCCCAGCTTTTGCTCTGATGACTTCTCTCCTAGGTTGCTGCCTTGGGCAATTGTTAGCAGTGGGAATAAGAACGGCTTCTTCCTGTCCTTAGTAAGGCCTCCATGTCTGTCTGCTGAGGCTCCTAAGGCCAGAGGCAACTGGTGTGGGCCCTTCCAACCTCTCCGCCTGCCCTTACCACACTGGGCTTAGGTGCCCAGGTGCTGTCCATTGGTCTCAGTGCCCTGACTGGTTCTGTCTTGATGCTCTTCTTCCTGAACTTGGGTGTTTGAATCTGCCAGTGTTTAGTTGCTTCTGTGGTGAGCAGGGTCCTTTCTGATGAGGGAGGGGGGATGATGCACACCCTGAGACTGGGCTGGACATGGCCAGGCAGTTCCTACATCCCACAGGGAGCCAGTGTCCCTGAGGAGCTGTTAAAAGTGCAGGCTCAGGGTGGGGCACAGTGGCTCACGCTTGTGATCTCAGAACTTTGGGAGGCCAGGCTGGTCTCAAACTTCTGACTCAAACTTTTACAAAATATTTATAAAATATTCTCCATGTGTTTGCCACCTCTCTGCACATTTTTTTTACCCTTTTTTTTTTGAGACAGAGTCTCAAGCTGTTGCTCTGGGTAGAGTGTTATGTCATCATAGCTCACAGCAACCTCCAACTCAGGCTCAAGCAATCCTCTGGTCTCAGTTTTTCTATTTTTAGTAGAGACAGGGTCTTACCTTTTTGCTCAGGCTAGTCTTGAATTCATGAGCTCAAGCAATCCATCCACCTCAGCCTCCCAAACTGCTAGGATTACAGGTGTGAGCCACTGCACCCAGCCTCTTTGTACAATATTGTAGTGAACATTTTGTAAGTTAAGGTATATTTAGCTACAATTTCCTACTTCCCTATGGATGGAGACTTTACCGACACCATAAAGTATGCTGTGCAGCCAGTTAATAGGTAGTTATGATGTTTTCACTGCCAAGAGAAAATGGTTATGATGCTGTATCTGTGGTAAGTTTTTGAAAAGCACAGAAAATCCATGAAAAACAAGTACATCAAAATGTTAATAAGTTATTTCTGAGTGGTAAAATTAGTGCATTTACTTTCTTTGTACTTTTCCTTAGTTTCTAATGTTTTACAAAAACTTCAAGAAATGGAACAGAGTAGCTGGATGTTGTGAAGGGCGCCTGTAGTCCCAGTTACTTGGGAGGCTGAGGCAAGAGAATCGCGTAAGGCAAGAGAATCGCGTAAGCCCATGAGCTGTGACAGAATGAGATTAGAATGAGATTCTGTCTCTAAAAAATAGAAAAAAAAAAAAAAAAAGAGCCTGGAGCTCACTCAGTGAGGCCCCTAATTATAGCTGAGCCGTATTTCCTTCCTAGACGTAGAATTCAGCATGCCCAGTCCCTCTAGGGCTCTGGGGCCTTTTCTTCTTGAGTGATAGACAGAGCAGCGCCCCCCTTCATGATGCCTATTGCTGGAGATGACACAGCTCAAAGCAGCTGTGTATGTTTGTGGCCACTAATGCACACAAAGGGATTTACCAGGATTCCTGAACACATATAGCTGACACTTTATTTGCCACAAAGATGCAAAATTACATAGGGCACTAAGCAGCCCCTCTGGAGAACACTTGATCACCACACTGGTCTGCACTATGTGGGAACAGCTTAGGAGTGTCTGGCCTGCTCTTGGCTAGGGCACCACACTGCTCTCACCAAGGCACCTCAGTGGGCTCAGCCTGGGAAGAGCAGGCCTTACCCACAACTCCTAACTACTTGGCAGGTGAACCCCGAGCCACTTACTGATCTCCTCCATCACCACAGTGTTGTCCATCGCTATATGGACTGCCAGGGAGCTCCACGTGTCAAAGACAGCAAGCTTCCTGCAGAAAGTGGGAGAACATGCCTGTAAGCTTTTCTGCGACTCAAAAAGACATTTCACCTCTGACAGTGACAATGTGGGACATAGCACAGTCATGCCAGAGCTGCCTCTCCAATGATAAAGACTAAGACTCAGAATGTCAGGAGGCACATCCAATGCCACAGGTGGGAAGAAAGGTGATTCTCCTCACCTGGGCCTGGCGCTGCTTCCATTGTCTCCAGCTGCACATAGTAGAGGTTCTATGCAGTGGGGTCTGATCTCATTGGCAGACCGAGATAGGAACCAGCACATGAACCTGCTCCTTAGATGCTGTGTCCCCAGGCACAGTGGTATGAGCCTATAATCCTCTACTAGGGAGACTGAGGCAGGAGGATCACTTGAGTCCAGGAGTTTGAGACCAGCTTGGGCAACACAGGGAGACCCAGCTTAAAAATAAACAAGGCCAGGCGTGGTGGTTCACAATTGTAATCCCAGCACTCTGGGAGGCAGAGGCAGGTGAATTGCTTGAGCTCAGGAGTTCAAGACCAGCCTGAGCAAGAGTGAGACCCCATCTCCACTAAGAATAGAAAAACTAGCCAGGCATGGCTGTGGGCACCATAATCCCAGCTACTTGGGAGGCTAGGACAGGAGGATTGCTTGAGCCTAGGAGTTTGAAGTTGTAAGCTATGACGATGCCACTGCACTCTATCCAGGGCATAGAGTGAGACTGTCTCAAAACAAATAAACAAATTTCATCACTAGAAAATAGAAGAAAACCTTTGAGACAGAGTTTTCTGTTTTGAGACAGAGTTTCACTCTGTCACAGCTCACAGCAACCTCAATCCTTAGGCTCCTGACTAGTTAGGACCACAGAAGCCTACTACCACATCTGGCTAGTTTTTCTATTTTTAGTAGAGATGGGGGGGCCTCTTGCTGAGGCTGATCTCGAACTCCTGAGCTCAAGCAATCCACACACCTCAGCCTCCGAGAGTGCTGGGATTACAGGTGTAAACCCCCACACCTGGCCAAGGAACCTTTTTTTTTCCTTTTTTTTTTCCTTTTTTGGCCGGGGCTGGGTTTGAACCTGCCATCTTGGCATATGGGGCCAACGCCCTACCTTTGAGCCACAGGCACCGCCCAACCTTTTTTTTTTTTTTTTTAATTAAAACAAAACTAGCCAGGCAGGGACGGTGCCTGTGCCTTAGTGAGTAGGGCACCAGTCCCATTTACTGAGAGTGGCTGGTTCAAACCCAGCCCCAGCCTAACTGCAACAACAACAAAAAAAATAGCTGGGTGTTATGGCGGGTGCCTGTAGTCCCAGCTACTTGGGAGGCCGAGGCAAGAAAATTGCCTAAGCCCAAGAGCTGGAAGTTGCCGTGAGATATATGTGATGCCACAGCACTCTACTGCGGGTGATAAAAGTGAGACTGTCTCTCTTTTTTTTTTTTT